GGGGGTGGCCGGCGACCAGCAGGACTTTCTTAAAACTGACTTTGTGGGGAACATGAAAGGGCTCTTTGTTTGCCAAAACCTTGGGAATTTCACATGTGAAATGTGCGTTGCTGCACGGCTCCGTTAAGTTTGTTGCGAAGGCTGCTGCTAACGCCGTTTCCGAAAGCAAAACGTGGACGTCGTCCTGCAGGGCGAGCTCGCCGGGGCTGGGGGTGCAGCGGGGCCGGATCCGCTCCCTGCTCCCTCTCCTGCTGCCGCCCGGAGCGTGGAGGACGAACGAGGAGGCGATGCTGGGGGTGATGCTGGGGCGGTCGCTCGGCTCCCCCTCGCCCAGCAGCCTGCAGCAAGGGAAAGACCGCAACGCCGCGGTGGAGCTTGTCGAGGGGAATGATCAGGTTTTGGGAAAACGCTGGCAGCTCCCCGTGCCGGGAGGCCAGACTGGGCTGCCAGACGGGAAGCCGGCTGACGTGGAAGTGCCGTCTCGCCGGGATTATGAATGGCCAGGCCTGTGCCGCGGCGGCGCTCGGCTCCTCGCCGTGCCCTGTCCTGGCTGAGGTGAGCCCGGGGACAGACCCTTCTGTCTCGCACCAGCAAACAATTCCATGGAGCAGCCGAAAACCTCCCCCCGTCAAGGCGAGCTGGCTTGCTTCTTGCCAAGCTGGCTCCTGTCATTAGTGCCAGTCCAGCCCTGCTCGCCATAATTGCTCTGATCCTCGCCCTCTGGGATTAAAATCTCTCCTTTGATTGTAGAAAACCAGGATCATCTTGTGCCGAGAAACCGAGCTGGTGCAGAGTGGCTGTGGGAAGGTATTTGTGCAGTTATGGCAAAAATGTGCGTGTGCTTTTTTGTTTAAATTGGCTGGTGGGAAGCTGGTTTGCTTCTTGGGGCGTGCTCTGTGAATTCGGTTTTTGCTTGAAGTAGTTGATGCATCTGATATCTTGTGGCTGCTTTATCAAACAGGGTGGGGTTTGGGTCCTGTATTGGAAACTCTGGCCTGAGCGAGGATATTAGCAGTGATTAAGGGCACCAAAATTGCTCGGGGGGGAAGGTGGGGGGGTTGTTGCTCCCCTCTCCCTTCCGGGGAGTCGCGGGGACAGGGCGACTGGCACGGGCTCGTCACCGACGGGCTGCAATTATAAGCAGCC